GCATTAGCATTAGCATTAGCATTAGCATTAGCATTAGCATTAGCATTAGCATTAGCATTAGCATTAGCATTAGCATTAGCATTAGCATTAGCATTAGCATTAGCATTAGCATTAGCATTAGCATTAGCATTAGCATTAGCATTAGCATTAGCATTAGCATTAGCATTAGCATTAGCATTAGCATTAGCATTAGCATTATTGACCGCCCACGGTTGTTACTCTGTTATTACCAGGAAATACTATATATTTTCTAGGTACATTTTGTGACATTGAAACTGGTTTTGTCATTTGTTAAAAATATCGTGTTTCGATTTATGTTGCATAATCTGCATCTTGTTTGCGATTTGGGCTCACAAGTTCCTACTTCACGCCTCCTCGAGTCATATGATAACAAAAGACTACCAGCTGAAACATGGACACAGCTGAGTGGCGTAGCCTGGGCAATGTTGCCAGTCCGGCAATAGCAAAGTGAAGAGGTGCGACGCGAACACTGGCGCGGCAACCATAGTACGGTGATAGAGGAAATGCTTCCCCAAACCTGAGCGTCTGTTCACCATGGAGGTGCGGCTCAAAACGGCGTCTGTTCTCCATGTTAGGAGCGGCTGATCACCGTCCTAGTGTCAGCGTGGGACTCTAAATAGAGCTGTGCACGATGGTCCCCCGGCTAGACAGGGGTTGGGGCAGGCCCAACAAGCCGCCCTGAAAAAAAAACAAAGTTGCAAATACCGAAGAAAGAAATACGGATCGGAACAATCGGCACAGACCTACGCGACGAAATAAGGACTACGATTGGAAAATCGCTCGGCTTCCCGGGTTGCGATAGGTTAATCTATGACGAACTTCAACCACGCAACTTCGAAGGCGCAGCACTGCAGGAACTTTGCTGGACGGGACAAAAGGTATGGAAAAGCGGGCATCGAGAGGCTACTTTCTACCAGAGCTGTGGCACCACCAACGAGCTGGGAACCGGCTTTGTAGTGCTGGGTAAGATGCGCCAACGAGTGATTGGTTGGCAGCCGATCAACGCGAGGATGTGCAAGTTGAGGATTAAGGGCCGTTTCTTCAACTACAGCATCATCAACGTGCACTGCCCACACGAAGGGAGACCCGACGACGAGAAAGAAGCGTTCTATGCGCAGCTGGAGCAAGTGTACGACGGCTGTTCGCAACGGGACGTCAAAATCGTCATCGGCGACATGAACGCTCAGGTAGGACGGGAGGCAATGTATAGACCGGCAATCGGGCCAAACAGCCTGCATGTCGTATTGAACGACAACGGCCAACGATGCGTGAACTTTGCAGCCTTCCGGGGTATGGTAGTTCGAAGTACCTTTTTCCCCCGCAAGGATATCCACAAAACCACCTGGAGATCACCTGACCAACACACAGAAAACCAAATCGATCACGTTCTAATCGACGGGAAATTCTTCTCCGACATTATCAACGTCCGCACGTACCGCAGTGCGAACATAGATTCGGACCACTACCTAGTTGCAGTATGCATGCGCTAAAAACACTAGACGGTGCATAACACACGTCGAAGTCGAACGCCGTGACCCAACATTGAGCAACTACGGGACGCTGGAGTTGCCCAGGACTACGCGCAGCAGCTGGAAGTTGCACTACCCACGGAAGAGCAGCTTGGCGCAGCTTCTCTTGAAGATGGCTGGAGGGACATCCGTTCAGCCATAGGTAGTACTGCTGCAGCGGCACTAGGTACTGCAATCCCGGACCGAAGAAATGACTGGTTTGACGGCGAATGCAAACTGTTAGTAGAGGAGAAGAATGCAGCACGGGCGAGAATGCTGCAACACCGCACGAGATTGAATGTGGAGCGATACAGACAAGCGCGGAACAGACAAAACTCGGTTTTCCGAAGGAAGAAGCGTCAGCAGGAAGACCGAGATCGCGAGGCGATGGAAAATCTGTACCGCGTAAACGACACACGGAAGTTCTACGAGAAGCTAAATAGTTCGCGCAAAGGCTACGTGCCGCAAGCCGATATGTGCAAGGACTTGGACGGTAACCTTCTCACGAACGAGTGTGAGGTGATTGAGGGGTGGAAGCAGTACTATGACGAGCACCTCAACGGTGAAGCAGCAGAAAACGAAGGTGGCACGGCAACAGACCTTGGAGCACGCGCAGAAGACGACAGGCTACCGGCCCCTGATCTTCAAGAAGTTGAGGAGGAGATCGGTCGGCTGAAGAACAACAAAGCAACTGGTGTAGATCAACTACCAAGTGAGCTATTAAAATACGGTGGTGAAGCACTGGCTAGACCGCTGCACTGGGTAATTGCCAAGATTTGGAAGGAGGAGATATTACCGGAGGAGTGGATGGAAGGTGTCGTATGCCCAATCTACAAAAAGGGCGACAAGTTGGATTGCTGCAACTACCGCGCGATCACACTGCTGAGCGCCGCTTGCAAGGTACTCTCCCAAATTCTATGCCACCGTCTGTCACCATATGCAAGAGAGTTCGTGGGGCAATACCAGGCGGGATTCATGGGTGCCCGGCCTACCACGGACCAAATTTTCGCGATTCGGCAGGTTCTGCAGAAATGCCGCGAATACAACGTACCCACACATCATTTGTTCATCGATTTCAAATCCGCATACGACACAATCGATCGAGATCAGCTATGGCAAATTATGCACGAGTACGGACTTCCGGATAAACTGACGCGATTGGTCAAGGCGACGATGGATCGAGTGATGTGCGTTGTTCGAGTATCGGGGACACTCTCGAGTCCCTTTGAATCTCGAAGGGGGTTACGGCAGGGTGATGGACTTTCGTGTCTGCTGTTCAACATCGCGTTAGAAGGTGTGATCAGAAGAGCTGGGCACGATATTCAGGAAGTCCATCCAGCTCCTTGGCTTCGCCGATGACATTGACGGAACTTTTAGATGATGGCGGAAACGTACATCAGACTGAAGGCTGAAGCTAGACGGATTGGACTTGCCATCAACGCATCAAAGACAAAATACATGAAAGAAGGAGGTTCTAGGGAAGATAATGTTAGCCTCCCACCACAAGTTCAGATTGACGGTGACGAAATCGAGGTGGTCGATGAGTTCGTGTATTTGGGCTCACTGGTGACCGCCGAAAATGATACCAGTAGAGAAATTCAAAGACGCATTATGGCAGGGAATCGTGCCTACTTTGGACTCCGGAGGACGCTCCGGTCGAATAAAATTCACCGCCGCACTAAGTTGACCGCACTAAGGCAATGTGGATCGACCAAGTAGAAGGTGACCTGCGGACCCTTCGCAGACTACGAGGCTGGCGAACTGTGGCCATGGATCGAGTAGAGTGGAGACGATTTCTTCGGACAGCAGAGGACAACAAGGCCTTAGCCTGATTGGTAAGGTAAGGTAAGCGATTTATATGATTTGATATATCGACACCCTAATAACATGTTCCGTCCTCCGAATTTAGTTGACCCTTCCTCAATATTCAAAAGCTTTATAAAAGATCATTTTATTTTTAATTTGAAGTTTAACTCAATCTCATTTAGTGGTAGACGTGAAACACGTCTTTAATTTTTTTTAAATTTGTCGTTCCCACCCTGAAAAAAAAATCATAGATTTTATTCAGTGCGAACACGAAAAAGTTTTTGTTGAATAACTTTTTTCCTTTAAAAGTGCCCATCTTGGGATGTATCAACGAGTTGTAGATAAATGGTATGTCTATCTTTGGAAAAAAAATTCAGATTAAAAAAATTGTGTTTTTGAGAAACTGTGTTTTGTGTTTTAAAAATTATTGTTTTCAGTGTAGAAAAAAGACTTAATTAATTAATTAATTTAGCTTTATTTAGGAGGCCTTCAGCCTTAGGCTGGTTCGCCTCCACGATGAAAAAAAAAAAAAAAAAAAAAGACTTTATTTTATTTATATTTTCTTACAAAAGCTTATTTATTTCTCTACAAATCATCCTTTGGCAAAATTTTGTAGGACTTGACATTATTGAGTTATAATTTTTTTAAGGAAAATGATGACATTTTGATGAGATTTTTTTAAAGAAAATAAGTATGCAAAGTTGCTTAAGTAGACGAGATCTATACACTTACAAAGTTTCATTGACATCTGAGAGGGTGCTGCCAACCATTTGTCGAGTTAGCGTGAAATTCGTCGTTAGCATTCTATAATAAAAAAGTAATTAAATACCCCCAAAAGAGCGATCCACAACTGATTGTGTGGTATGAGCAGGGATGGGCATCGGGATGCACTTGAACAGCTAAAAAAAGAGCAAGATACCAAAGAGAGCACGCATTAATTTGAGAGACGTGCAATGTGGGTAGGAGCACACAGAAACAGCACAAAGAGAGCTCAAAATTAGCACGAGAAAAGCTCATTCCAGTTCCAAAAACAACATTTTGGGTATTTCGACAGTGAGCATGCATAAGGGCGTAAACGCGATGATCGATTCTCTTCGTAGATTTTCTCTTTTATTAATAAATCGCTATAACTAACGTTTCTCGGTGCGTTTGCTGTTGCTTTTGATAGCCAATACAACCTGTTACAACTCTGCATTGAACAAATTCTTGAAAATTGTTTCGCTTAGCTGTAGCAATGCAAAGAGAAAATCGATGAAGAGAATCGATCATCGCGTATACGCCCTTATGCATGCTCACTGTCGATTTTTTTCCGCAGCATGGAACAATATTATACTTCACTCAAACTTTAAAAATAGTTGTTTTGCAAAATCAGCACATTCTGCAGAGCGCACACTTTCCATTAGCACAAGTTCATAGCTTAAAGTGACTTAAAAGCATGTATTACCATCGAATGATAATGTTCCAGACGAACTTCGGTCAAGTTGTTCTGGGTTTTCACCAGCATGCTTTCTCGTTATCATTCGACAGAATGTCGTGTGCAATGTCTACGACGGGCTCGTCACCGTTGAATTGATAAAAATAAGAAACTAATCTATCAGGAAGCTGATATAAAAGGTATTCGCCGCCCCATGGTCCTAGTTCTCATTGAGAAGTGTGATCGGAGCGATGCATTGTGTTACGTGTTTCGTGGCAGTTCTGATTCTCTGCGGAACGGCAAGTGAATCGAGAGAAATACCCTCGAAAATAACTGGGGATCAGAGATTTGGTGCGTTCATTTCCTCCCTGGTTTTTTGCTAATGATAGTGAAACTTACTATATCTGAATTACAGCTCCAACATGTACACTCAATATCAATAATCAGCTGCCTAGCCCTCAGCCTCTGCTGTTGTTTCCTGGTACAGAAGAGTTCCGCTATCCCACATCCACAAACCGCTTGTTGCAGTTGAATCCAGGAGAGACAATAGAACTGGCCTGCACCAGTGGCTTTAATCTAGCACCGAGCAAGAATGCCATCACCGTGTCCTGCGTCTTTGACAACATTTTCAACTACGACAGTACTATGTACCAATTCAGCGACTTCTCATGTATACAGCTGTGGAAGAGTGCCGCACGACGTACCAATGAACCCTGCGAAGAAGATGCATTCATTATCGAGATTGGCTTCGATATGGGAACGCGCTTCCCCAAGATCATGGACATTTGCCACAACGAGGAGACGTTCGAAAATCATTGGATCAAACACGAATTCCGTCCAGCCCATGCCGGGTACCAGCAGAGTAATCCTCGTCCCAGTTGGTATCAGGGTAATTTCTATCCGGGGATCGATGCCAACTACCTCTACACCGTCAACAAGCAACGTCAGACAATTGCAGAGATTCTGCAGTCGCAAGAACTTGCCGATGGATTGGTTAAGGATACCAACTCGGGAATTTTCATGGCCCGTGGTCACATCGCTGCCCGTGTGGATTTCATCTACGGAACCCAGCAAAATGCTACGTTCTGGTTCTTGGTGGTTGCTCCCCAGTGGCAGAAGTTCAATGACGGAAACTGGCTTCGTGTCGAGGATGAAGTTCGCAGGTTCGTCGCCAACCGAAACATCAACGTCACTGTGTACGGTGGAACATACGGCGCTCATACACAAACCGATGCCAATGGTGATCAGCAACCAGTGTTTTTGGATTTTGATCCAAACGGAACGCAGCGACTGCCGGCTCCAAAGATCTACTACAAAATTTTACATGACGAAAAGAACCAAGCCGGCATCGTACTGATTGGCGTGAATGACATTCACATAACTTCGATGGATCAGATCAACGAGGATTACATGTTCTGCGAGGACATTGGAGACAAGGTCAGCTGGATAAACTGGGACAGGAGAAACTTTACCAAAGGCTTTTCCTATGCATGTGAAGTGAATCCGTTTCTCAAACGGATTGGCCATCTAGCAGAGTTGGATGTTCCGAATTTGTTGATTTGAATAAAATTTTACATCGAATTATGTGTTTAAAGAAAAAAGCAGAAAAGCACATTTTGATTGGAGAAAGGCATTATTGAAACACACATTTCTAAAAGCGTAAGTCACTTTCGTAGGTTAAATTTCGAATGAGTAAAGTGACTTACTCTCTGAGTAGGATTCGTTTTTAGTGAACGATTCTTCCCGCGTGCTGATCCACAGTTTATAGTGAACGCGAATCAATAACCACAGTAAACCAAGACTTTGTTCCTCTCTCACCGCCAACAAGTAGGCGTTGCAAATCGGTTCTAAACGAACACGGCTGGTATGATGCCTATTTTAAGGCGACACTGTATCGGAACGAAGCGTGGTGTGAATATAGCGGTTTTAAAATGTGCCTGCTTTGAATCATCTTCCCAATATGCTACGTCATTTTCAGTCCTTTTTTTCAGCATACATTTTCTTATTTTTTATTGCGTATGTATAAAACATGAACAACCTAGAAGCAAAAATGCATAAGCGACTAAAAATAAACCATAACGTCTTCCTTCTCAATTAGAATCTAAACTCAATTCCAACAACCTTGACACTTACACCTCTTTGCTTTCGAATTCCTCTATTTTGTTCAAGGACACACAATCACCCTTCTTGATTCCCACAACCCTACATCTTTGAGCAACTTGTTTTGACGCAGTTCTCTCTGCACGTGTTTGCTCTTCCCCTCATAAATACACGTGTTTTACTCTCGTTGCTTTGTACGCTCATTCACAACAAAATCGGTTTGGTTGGTCTTTGCCTGTAGGCATTTGAACCGTTGTAGGCCAATCCAAACTCGTGGGGTAAGACATGCGGATGGGTGGTTTTTCGTTCGGGACTACAGTGGAACTATTTTTATGCCATCAAATAATAATTGAACAAATATAGTTAAAATGTAGCTAAATGACTTAATGCATCTTTTTTAAAGAAAACCGTTAATATCTCATTGTTGTTTGTATTTTTTTTTTTAATTTGAGTTTAATTGTTTTTTTTTTTTATTATTGTTGTTTGCATCATGTTTACCAATTGACTGATCGTTCGCTTCAGTTCATGGTTGTCTTATAATAAAATTGCTATTTTTAATATTGCTTCTATTATTTGTCTTGTTTTTTTCTCGATGAGTCGAAGTCGAGGAGTTGGAGTTCTGAAGTCGGAGTTTTGGGGTCGGAGTTATGGAGTCGGAGTTCTGAAGTCGGAGTTCTGGATTCGGAGTCGGAGTTGAGGATTCGGAGTCGAGGAGTCGGAGTCGAGGAGTCGGAATCGAGGAGTCGGAGTCGAGGAGTCGAAGTCGAGGAGTCGAAGTCGAGGAGTCGGACTCGAGGAGTCGGACTCGAGGAGTCGGACTCGAGGAGTCGGACTCGAGAAGGCGGAGTCGAGGAGTCGGAATCGAGGAGTCAGAATCGGTTAGTTTCAAATCATAGGAGTCGGAGGCGGTCGATTTAGATTCGACTGGACAGCCCTGGATATAACAAACCATAGGTACAATAAAAATGGAACTTAAATGCTGGGAAGAACAAAAGGTGGCCGGGTTCAGACTGATAGCTGATAGCTGATGATTTTTTTACTGGGTGTTTGAATTGCTGAAAAAGTCGGTAAAAATTCAAATGAACGTCCAAATAATGAATCCAAATGATCATTAAATGGAGTTAACAGAGCTAAGTCTGTACAACTTCAAAGCTACAAGTTACAAGATTTTTAAACTTTTATCGAATTTTTCCGCAATTTAAAAACCCAGTAAAACTTTACTGTATTAGTGTGTGCCTGACTTAGAACTTGTCAAGGCAACTACCTGATCACTCGGTTAATGGTGGTTAGCTGACGGCTTACATGACGCGTACAGGAAACAGGGGTATATCCCTAATCAATGGACGTAGTAGTATGAATCCCCCAACAACAACAAACTTACAAAATAACGTTACAAATCTCGAAATTCAAACAACATAACCCACCACTGGTGCTTAACCGTCTTAATAGTCGCACCACTGTTTTCAACCCATTTAAAAAAAAAACATACATTTCCATTGTGTTCATAGCTACCGCATAGCAGCTCAAAACAGAGGGTCGAAATTCATACACAAAATCGTACCAATTCATGTGAATGCGAAATAACCAACATTGATAGACATTAGCCCCCCTCGTATCGTTCATAAAACCCAACAATCAACCCGAATCGCCGAATGGTTGTTTGTCGGTGTCAACAAACACCAAAAAAGAAGAGAGTCATCATTATTCGTTGTTCGCTCACACCGCATGGCCTACTCTTGTGCGCGACAGAGCTCCATCAGCCAGCATCAAAGTAGCCTAGACGTCCGCGACCGCTCGCTCTTTATAGTTCATCATAAAGTCACACTCACTCAAAGTCAGTTGAGCATTTTGATTCGACTCGCACGGACGCGCGAATACCGCGGCCATCCGTTGATCGCGTTTCGGCAGCCCTCGAGATCATTTGCCAACGGTCATCTCCTACACACGACGGTGTAATTGCCCAAACGAAATGCAACAGTTATTGCCATCAAATGCAGCATAATGTACACCAAGTGTCGAACTCAGTGATGAACTGTGCGGGTTGAGGTGTACGCTGCGTAAATTGTGAGCTGCACGTGGTTTTCATTTCCGCGCGTGGTATCAATTGCCGCTTTTTGTTTTATGAAGTGTTTATTTTCGTGAAAAAGCGTGCCAATTGGTTGTCGACCAACAGAGGCAGAGGCGAAACACATGTTCTTACTTGATGAGGTAATACCCCTCCTGGTCCTAGTCTTCTTTTGTTTGCATTATGTGACAATAGCGCTCATTTTCGTTCAGCAGCTGAAAATCTGCTTCGGTAATTGTTATGTGTGTTGCGGGTAGAAACATGGCCCCAATGTAATCGATTTGAAAGGCAAACGGTGCGCTAGATAGTGAGCTATTTTTAATAAGTCTCTATGGCCATTAGTGTGTGTGTAATATTAGTAAACAGAATTTCGCTGCCCGTATAGGATTGCTCGAAATTCAAAGCCGAACGCCGCAAACGGAAAGTCAACATGCTAAATATGAATATCCCTATTTCTTGTAGATATGTGGATCGGCGATATATGATGAATGCTGGTGTTGGGGACATAGACTGTGAAAACAAGGTCGATTATGTTTGGAAGAATCGTTGTGGAAGTGTAATAGACATGGTTAATGATGCGGTTCATATCGCGAGTGTCACGCTGTTCGGTAATAGCACGAGTCTGCTGCGTGTGCGCAGTAAGCGTTGTACAGTGACAGTTCACACTCGCAGAGTAGGCCAAGTTATCCGACGGAAAGAGTGCACGCTATTCTGGGGCTACTCATTTTTGAGTCGAAAATCACTCACTTGGCTGAATTATTAACGAAAGAGAAAGTCGATGAAGAGAATCGATCAAAGTCACTTACACCCCTATCCTTCTAACCCCCTCAATTGACAGCTGTGGAAGTGCATCACACTAAGTTGAGTGCACTCAAAAAGCTAATATGCAAAAGATAGCTTTTGCTGCTCCATTTTCCTCAGTTTAAAATTCAGTAAAAATCTAAGTAAAATTGTTTACTTAGAATTTGGGTAGATTGTACTCATCACAACAAATCTAGTTTACTCATTTTTTAACAACTCCATACTGCACACAAGAATGAGTGCAATCTACCCAGTCTCTGGGTAATCTCAGAATAGCGTGTAGTATTCGAACTGTTTGGTTTCCTATGCGTACGAATCACACAGCAGGCGTGTTTCTTCGTCCTTCAAATCATCTGAGCGCCAAACAAGCTGCGTGTTAGTGCGAAACTAATTTCAAATTTCGACTGTCCATGCCTACGGCTACGAAAAACGATTTTTGGATAAGGTGCAGGACCGTCTTTACGACCGGGCCTAGGGGGGGGCTAAATTAAGGGCCCCATTTTGGAGGGTTACAGCTACAGACAGGCATGGAAAATCATTTGCATTCATTTCGTGCATTCATTTACATTCATTTGCCTCTAACTTTTTTCATCAACAGCATTACGCAAAATGATGTATGGAGTTTTTGTAGGTTTATTTATTAGATACAACTTTTGTTAACAAGTAAAATCTGTAGTTCTGATGCATGACGAACCAGAGCAAACAGAAGTCACTACTGTTTTTCAGTGAATGTATTTTACATGTTCTGCACACTCTAGTTTGTGGTGCATAAGAGATACAGATTTGAGTTATAAGCAAAAGTTGTAGCTAATAACAAAACCTACAAAAGTTCTATACATCATTTTGTGGTATGCTGTTGATGAAAAAAGGCAAATGAATGTAAATGAATGTATTAAATGAATGTAAATGATTTTCCATGCCTGGCTACAGATATAAATTCTCTCAACGATTTTCAGTTGTTTCACAATTTAACAACTTTAAAATAACATGTGAAAAAGCTTAGGCATTCACCTCTTTGTTCATCATTTTGTCCACCTCAAATATGCACAAGCATTCCCAGCGATCAAGAGCTCGTGAATAATCAACAAAGCATCCTAATACACTAGCAACCCCGTATTCTGATGCTATCGTAATTTTCAGCAACGTCAGAAATACTCATGGACCCCCGAAATTTAGCCACACACTACTAAAAAGTATAGATACTATAGATTCCATAGATAAGTGAAGGAAAGGGATAATAAAGTATAAAGCAAACCATTCCTCGATACATTGTTGCAAAGATTTGCTTTGCACTTCATTTTGAACGCACGAAACAAAACAAAACTGCACAACGAAGAGCTTTATGATGGCATGAACTTTTTTCACGGATGCCAGTAAGATCATTTATTTTTCATGGTTGCCAAAACAATTTTTTGTGCCTCCGCTTATCTATGGAATCTATCATGTAAATTTCGGATCCCTGAGACCGACACATGTAAGCGGGCCTTTTGACATAAGAATCAGTTGCAAGAAACGTGAACATCAATTCTTGCGTCACTTTTCAAATAGACTCTATTTGAAAAGTGACGCAAGAATTGATGTTCACGTTTCTTGCAACCAGTGATGGAAATCAAGCGAGCATGATCCGATTTCCAGTTTGTCGTAAACTGTACAGATCGTGATCTGTACAAACTACGACCAACGATTAGTCCTCTTCCACCTTGAAAATACGTTGTTGCGTAGGCAACTCACAAATAACAAATACATGTTAGACTGAGTCAAGCTCAGAGAAGTGAGTTACCCTTTTCGCTCATTATATCCACAAATCGCAACATGTGCTTTTTTCACGAGACGAGAGTGAGTGTCTCTCTGTGAGTAGCATTCTTTGGCAGTTTGGGGTTACAGAGCAATAGCGAATTTGTTTATTCCCAGGTTGGTACCAGTTCTAACCTAGTGCAAACCCGAACTTTTTTTCAGCGCGAAAGTCGACCCGTGTCAGGTTATAAAAACAAACGATCAAACTGACGTTTGCTAGAAAACAAGCCGACCCTAACTTGATACCCAATCCAGGTTCACGCAGAAAAATGGATTTTTGTTTCAGGGCCTAATGTATTTTGTTATTGATTCAAACATATTGTATCACTATTTCAACGAAACATATTTTTGAATCAACAAAATGGTTTTTAGAACCAACACACAGATTATTGACTCTACAACCGGTTTGTTGATTCAAAAATATTTTTCTTTGAATTAACCGAATAATATATTTGAATCAATACCAAAAATATATTAGGCCCTGAGCCAAAAATATATCCATTTGAATTTAAAAATCATTTCTCTGTGTGTGGAACGGTATAATAAACAAATTCACTATAAGCAAGCATCAGCAGATAGGTTCTGACCATCGGTAGGGGAGAACAGTCTATTATGCACCCCTGGGGTAAAATGGCGCCGTGTGGGTTTTCGTTGCTTTCCCATTACTAATTCTGTAAATATCATGTGCCAGAATGTTAGTTTAAGCACTGAACTAGCAATGCTGATGGTTAAATTGACGAATTGACAATCGGAAAGCTATGAAAAACAGTGCAGGGCCATTTTACCCCAGGGGTGCGTTTTGAACCATCCTACCCTAACTTTTAACACGAAGGCTGAAACGGGGCGATGTGCGGTTTCTATAGGTGAGGAGGATGCAAACAAGTCGACTCTTTCAATCTCTCGGTTTCGAATGCGTTACGTCACGTCTGTTGCTGTATTAGAACGCGATGAGAATAAAAGAGTCGACTAGCTTCCTTGCACATCACCTGTAAATAGCGCACATTTGGCTCAGTAGTTCATCGGATAGTTCTGTCAACACGGTGAACTGTTCCTTTCTTTTTCACTCCTCCGAAAGGACCAATGCCGCCAACGCAAATACATGCATCTTTTCTAATTCAAAGACTGAAAAAAAGCAACAAAAAAATCACGATCATTATGGCAATGATCATGATCTGATCACGGTTGTTCATCAGTTGTACATAATCCGAACAACTTCTTGTACTCAGCTGTACGCATTGAGATCTTTTGTTTGTAGCGTGCACTCACAACAAGCCTTGCGTAGTATAAGTAATGTATCGTGAGTACACACAGCAATGATGTTGTTATCGTCTTGCTCTCTGGAGATCTTGGTAACTCACTTTTCGAAATGCTCTCTGCGTATTTGTGTTCAGAGTCAGAGTTCATCGTTAGCTTATGATGATGCCAAAAAATCTTGTAGTAGGTGTGTGCGTAGTCATTGATCGCTAGAAGTGATTTTTTGACATCACTGAAATAGACCAATCTACGTCGATCGATTCTCTTCATCGACTCTCTCTTTCGTTAATAACATGGCTGCATTCAAATTTCGGTCTAGTTTTTTCAACACAGTCTGTTAAAAGAAAATATTATCAAGCGCATTGGGCGATAAGAACAGCTGAACATGTTTTTGGAGCCGAGTTATTAACAAAATAGAGAGTCGATGAAGATAATCGATCAATGTAGATTGGTCTATTTAAAAGGTGACACGAAAATTCAATCAAACGTTCTCTTCGTCGACTAGCTGATGTTTCGGTTTGAGAACACTTAATTTTATATGAAATGTTTGATTACGTTCTATGATTTACGTCCAATATGGATTAAGTCTCGTGTAAAAGTAGTTATTTCTAAGTGTGTAGAAAACTTACTAATATTTATTTATTTATTTATTTATTGACTTATAATTTGTAACTTAAGACTTATGTCTTTCTTCTGTTACATCGATTATATCTAAGTATAACAAGCGCCACAAGTATATTACAAAACAAAACAAAAATGATACGTAACACAAACTGAACTACATTTACTACTCAACTAAAATGCTCAATACATCCTCTCTTAAATGCTGTTAACGAATTTACATTAGTTAGACTATTGGGTAAATTGGGTATTGGGTTAGTTCAAAGCATCTTCCAAATAAGCTTCAAAGTTCAATTTTTTTTTATCAAATGTTAAATTCAGTCTTCTATATCCGTAATACGCGACTCAAAATTACTTTTTTAACTACTAAAGGGTGTCCTAATCTGAAATGAAAATGAAAATAATCCGAAGTTCCTTTAATCGTATGCCAAGGAGCGAACTTTTGATCTGACGCTGCCCATGAGCTTCAGCACAGATTCCATGGCGAAAATTGTATCCGCTTTTGTCTTTTTCCATCAGTCTTTTTCAAATTCTTCGATTGAATTAGCTGGCTTAAAGTGTTTCCGTAGACTTCCCTTGAAAAGGGCTCACGTATTGCACATTGTTTGCTTTGTACCAAACTACCGTGGCTTTTGAGTAGTGCATTGACACCAAATCGAACCAAAATAGTACT